AGCTTTAAAGTGCCAGATTCAAAATCACCTCCTATATCCAAATTTGCCAAAAGTATCTTCCTAAATTCAGTCTTAAAAACCTGATCCTGTTTCAAAAGCTTTTTTCTCCTCTAGCATTTTTTGCCCAAAAAATTGTTTTTCATCTCTGCCCCACTATCATAAATGGCACGCTTTTAGATAACAGTGATAACTCAGAAACATGTTTGTAAGCATCACTATCTCTGTTCAGGTTATTTTAAAGCTTTGAGATAGAAGAGGGAAATCTTAGCCTGACTCACTCATCCGTTTACTTGTCTCTTAGCAAATCACAACTTTTCATTATTTCCTAGTAAGTTTGTTTTGAGTTACACATACATAGAATGACTTCATCAGACATAATTACAGACTCACATTTTTGAGCTGTAAGAGACTTCGGTGATGTACGATGACAGTTTTCTATATTTGTGATTCACAGTTAAGTCATATTTCAAAAGAACAAGCTTCATTTTGTAGATTTACACTCTTCCACTAATACAACGTACAAAGCATTGCAAGTCATTGGTGGTTATTCCTAATAACCAGCTACGAACTAACGACATTTTATTAAATTACCCAGATCTGTAGTGATAGAGCTGAGATCAGCATCTAAGCCTCAGTTCATTCCTTTCAGCTGAACCCACAGTAATCCAAGGAGGGTTTTCAGGGAAGCTACCTTAAAACCTGTTAGAAATGGCAAGGAAAAAAATAAAGTTCAGTTTTGGAAAGAATGATACCACCACCTTAGCCAAATGTGCACCTAAACTTAACTGGCTCAGAAGACTGCAAGGACATATTAGCTACTAGTGACATGTCAAGCTTGTTGCAGGGAAGGGCGCCCAGGCTGTTTTCATCCTATTTTAAGAAGGATTGGTAGTTGGAAAATATTGTGTTGGTGATAGAAACGACGCCGGAGATCGCATGATAGAATCTCGCAAGATCAATGACTTCCTCATTGCAAATATCTGTTTTTGACTGCATAAACAGCAACTGTACACGTGAACCTCACTGGATGGAAAACACAGGAATCAAATGGATTACACATCTGTGGAAATAGTTGATGGAAAAGCTCAATATCATCAATCAGAAAAAGGCCACGGGAGTCCCATAAAACAAAACGAGACTAATGGGGCACAACAGTCCAGGGATAAGGACTAGAAGGCAGGAGGGGACAGGAAAGCTGGTAATAGGGAACCTATGGTTGAGAAGGGACAGAGTTGACATGTCGTGGGGTTGTTAACCATTGTCATAAAGCAATATGTGTACTAACTGTTTAATGAGAAACTATTTCTTCTGTAAACCTTCATCTAAAGTACAATCAAAAAAAGAAAAAGGCCAGGGGGCAACTGTGAAACAGACCATCAATTGCTCATATGCAAGTTCAAGTTGAAGCTGAAGAAAATTAGAGCAAGTCCACAAGAGCCAAAATACAATCTTGAGTATATCCCACCTGAATTTGGAGACTATCTCAAGAATAGATTGAACTCATTGAACACTAATGACCGAAGACCAGACGAGTTGTGGGAAGACATCAAGGACATTATACATGAAGAAGGCAAAAGGTCATTAAAAAGAAAGAAAAGACCAAAATAGATGTCAGAAGAGACTTGGAAACTTGCTCTTGAATGTAGAGTAGCTAAAGTGAATGGAAGAAGTGTGATGAAGTAAAAGAGCAGAACGGAAGATTTCAAAGGGCAGTTGGAGAATACAAAGTAAAATATTTTAATGAAATGTGCAAAGACCTGGAGTTAGAAAATCAAAACAGAAGAACACGCTCGGCATTTCTCAAGCCGAAAGAACTGAAGAAAAAATTCAAGCCTTGAGTTGCAATATTGTAGAATTCTACGGGCAAAATATTGAATGACGCAGAAAGCATCAAAAGAAGATGGAAGGAATACACAGAGTCACTGTACCAAAAAGAATTGGTCAACATTCAACCATTTCAGGCGGTAGCATATGATCAAGAACCGATGGTATCGAAGGAAGAAGTCCAAGCTGCACTGAAGGCATTGGCAAAAAAACAAGGCTCCAGGAATTGATGGAACACTAACTGAGATGTTTTAATAAACAGATGCAGAGCTGAAGGTGCTTATTCGTCTGTGCCAAGAAATCTGGAAGACAGTTAACCTGGTCAACCGACTAGAAGAGATCCAAATTTGTGCCCATTCCAAAGAAAGGTGATCCAACAGAATGTGGAAATTATTGAACAATATCATTAATATCACATGCAAATAATATTTTGCTGAAGATCATTCAAGAGTGGCTGCAGCAGTATATCAATAAGGAAGTGCCAGAAATTCAGGCCAGCTTCTGAAGAGGACACAGAACCAGTGATATCATTCCTGATGTCAGAAGGATCTTGGCTGAAAGCAGAGAATACCAGAAAGATGTTTACCTGTGTTTTATTGACTATGCAAAGGCATTCAAGTCTGTGGATCATAGCAAATTATGGATAACATTGCAAAGAATGGGAATTCCAGAACACTTAATTGTGCTCATGAGGAATCTGTACATTGATCAAGAGGCAGTCATTCGAACAGAGAAAGGGGATACCGCATGGTTTAAAATCAAGAAAGGTGTGTGTCAGGGTTGCATCATTTTACCATACTTACTCAATCTGTGTGCCGAGCAAATAATCCAAGAAGCTGGACTATATGAAGAAGAATGTGGCATTCGGATTGGTGGAAGACTCCTTAACAATCTGCATTATGCAGATGACACAACCTTGCTTGCTGAAAGTGAAGAGGACTTGAAGCACTTACTGATGAAAATTAAAGACTACAGCTTGCAGTATGGATACACTTCAACGTAAAGAAAACAAAAATCTTCACAACTGGACCAATAAGCAACATCACAATAAATGGAGAAAAGATTGAAGTTGTCAAGGATTTCATTTTACTTGGATCCACAATCAATGCCCATGGAAGCAGCAGTCACGAAATCAAAAAATGTATGGCATTGGGCAAATCTGCTGCAAAAGACCTCCGTAAAGTGTTCAGAAGCAAAGATGTCACTTTGAGGACTACCGTGCATCTGACCCAAGCCATGATATTTTTCAATCGCCTCATATGCATTTGAAAGCTGGACGATGAATAAGACCAAAGAAGAATTGATGCCTTTGAATTACGGTGTTGGCGAAGGATATTGAATATACCATGGACTGCCGGAAGAACAAACAAGCCTGTCTTAAAAGAAATACAGCCAGAGTGCTCCTCGGAAGCGAGGATGGGGAGACTTCGTCTCATGTACTTTGGACATGTTGTTAGGAGGGACCAGTCCCTGGAGAAGGACACCATACTTAGAAGGTCAGCGAAAAAGAGGAAGACCCTCGACGAGATGGATTGACACAGTGGCTGCAACGATGGGCACAAACTAACAATGATTGTAAGGATGGTGCAGGACTGGGCAGTGTTTCATTCTGTTGTACACAGGGTTGCTATGAGTCGGAACCGACTCGACAGCACCTAATACCATTTTAAGGACACTAAAAAGAATTATTTAGGGCTGCTCCTATATTTTTCCTGTTTTGTTTCACCTGAAGCCAACTGTTTTAGTCTCTTCTTCTGCTTAACGATGCCCTCCCTCTACCCCAAAAGAAGAGAAAGGCAAAAGGGTTAACTATTTATAAACACTCTAGCTAAATGTTCAAGCAGTCGTTCCCTTACAGCATCCTCAACCTCCACCTCTCTTAACTGAGGCTTCAGTTTTTAACTTGCCTAGGTTTGTGAAGTGTTTTGCCCAAGTGTCTCCTCTGACTTTGTCTCTTCTGACTTATCAACTCTGGCCCCTAAACTGGAGATAGCAGGGAGAATCAGCAAACATCTAAGTGATGGACCTCATCACTTAAATACAATGGGACCAGAGTCATTATCCAGTTCAGTTCATGGTTATTTCTTGAGATCATCTGGGCAAGAATGACCGTCTGCTATGGTGTAAGTCACAGGAGAAAGCTAATTCTAGAGGCTGAAGGAGTTGACCAAATGAAGAATGGCAAAAGAACTACACTCTTCCAGGCATTTCACTACTGTTTACCCACAAGCAAGGGAGAAATATAGTCCGCACCACCTGGTCCACCCTTATTTCCATGCAGGTTAGAAGAATGAAGATTGTCTTCTCTGTTAAATGAAATATATAAACTCTGAACTACCAAGGCAGACAGAAAAAGTCAGCTTGGAAAATCTGGCTCTGTTCCCTGACCCAATTTGAATCAAATCAGGTTTAATCTGTAGTCTGAGGTCAGCTTCAATCTAGCAGTTGCTTGAGAGATTAGTTCAGTTTTCAGAATGACTTAAGAGCTCAATTCAGTGTGAAGTGGACCCAAATCTTGAGAGTCACTTAGAAAGCACTTCCTGTGTGCCATGCCTTGTTCTAGATGGCACATCTTCATCACATTTAACCTCCAAAAGAAGGTATTAGTCTCCACCTTCTTCAGGGAGGGCAAGGTCATAAACTTACAGGTAATGAGAATCTGAACCCAGGTATGTCCAACTTCAAAACTCTTAACTCATTTTAGCTGTTTCTAACCAGGAAGAATTAAAAACTAGGTTGGACAAGTAGAGGCCACCATGCATAAGACTGGCCTTTTGAATAAGGAGACCACCCTATCTAAGATAGCCCACCCACTGTCAACCATCACTCTCTTACCTTACTCTACTTCTTTCTTGCATTTCTCTCTACCTGAAATTACATCTATTCGTTTCACAAGTATTGACTGTGCTGCTACGATATTCCAGACACTGTGGTCTAGACAGACAACAGTCTCTGCCCTCACAGAGCTGACATTCTTTACTGTTAACTTCTTCCTGTCTCCCTGACCAAAATATAACCTCCATAATGGTAGGTTATATTTTGATATAAAAATATCATGTTTTACTTATTGCATATCTTTAGCAGCAAGAATAGAAGTTCAATAAATATTTGCTGAGTGAAAGAATGAGTACAAGACACGTAAATGTTGATCAAAGATTTCCACTGATTTCTCCGGTGTAGAAAACTGGTCCAACACTTCATTAAATTGATTTTATTCCCATGCAAAGCTCCTTATAGTGCACTGTCTTGGTGCTATACTACAAATCTCCACTATATAAAAAATAAAACTGTGATTTAAATATAATGTCTAAGACATCCCAGTATTTTTTTAAATGTTGAAACAAACAGCAGTTTAGTCATCTTGGAGAGTTAATTTTTATGTGCAAAGAAAAAAACAATAAGAGACAGCCACAGTACTATAGCAGGCAGTAAATGCATACGAGGAAAAAGGATTTTTAAATAGATTTTTATTTGCAAAATAAAAAAAAAAACTAATCCGAGTCAAGTTCCTTCTTCTTTCTTCTCGTCCCTTTTGAATTACTCCCCGATTCTGTTCTTCCCTTGCCATGTTCAGTTCGTTGTGTCAACCACTCTTTTTCTAGCTGTTTCAGCAGGTCTGGAGTGAGAAGTCCTTGCTGCACCAATCTGGAAGCAAGGGATTTCTCGCCTGCCTCAGGGCTGTGTGGCTCAGCAGCTTTACTCCCTAAAGTTTTGGTGCCACGCGTCCTTCTACTTTGGCTCTTTAAGGTTCCTGACAAACCAGACTGGCTCCCGGCTGGCATGCTCTCCAAATGCAACAGCTTATGTGTCTCGGAAATTTTAATCAGTTTGGTGATGTTGTGTACACCTTCTTGGATAATGCCATCTAGTTGTTTCTGGAGATCTCGAATAAGGCTGGCATCTGGAAACATATCCATAAATCTGTAGCTGGAAAAAGACAAATTATATTATAGTAACAGCTTTTATCATAGTTGCTGGACTAATCTCAGTGACCTACCTACATCTTGACACCAGTTAACTCCAAATGTTCTTTCTGCAAACTCTGTCCAGTGTCTTTCCTCAGCCTTTATTTCTACTCCGCTCACCTGAGTAATATGTCACCTCTCAAGTAACTGTGATATGCTCCCCTAGGGGAATATGCCTAGAACCACTAGTCTAGGGCAGGAGCCCGGGTGGCACAGTAGTCAAGAGCTACGGCTGCTAACCAAAAGGTCAGCAGTTCGAATCCACTAGCCACTCCCTGGAAACCCTATGGGGCAGTTCTACTCTGTCCTGTAGGATCACTATGAATCGGAATTGACTCAACAGCAAAGATTTGGCTTTGGTTTTTGGTCCAGAGCACTGCTTCTCAAATGTTAATACACAAATTAATCACCGGGGGATCTTGTTAAAAAGCGGACTTTGATGCAGTAAGTCTGGAGTGGGCCTGATTACCTGTATATTTCTAACAGGCTCCCAAGTAATACCGATGCTTTTAGTTCAGAGACCACCCTTCGAGTAGCCAGGGGCTAGTGGACCTTCTCACCTAGCTATCTTAATTAGAATCACAAGAACTCCTTATGTCATTTTTGGAATGGGTTTAAACCAGGTTTAACTGCCTTTGTGGATAATAAACACAATACAGAGCACCCTGCAAATGTGCGCCTAACTTGAAAGAGCAGAAGACCACTCATATAACCTTTGATTTGCCCTATTACTTACAAAACTGAGAGCACATAAAGGAAAAAAATTAGTACCTTAGCCACAGGTAGAGATCCAAGACATCATGGACAGCTTCAAGATCCATGAGGTCTTTAATATTTTTAGGTGGAAGTAATGGCCATTTAATATAGCGGCGTAACCACGCAAAGGTCAGTGGCTCATTCCTGCTATACTGCCTGGCAAACTGCCAAAAAAAAGAAGAAAGGAGTTTGGTAAAGGAATGAGAATTCATTTATGTCTGTGATTAGAAAGAAAAATGAAGAAAGCACAATGAAATGCTAACTGTGGTTGTGTTTCAATAGGCAGGCTGATTTCTTCTGTATACTTTTCTATATTTTTAAGAAGGAGCCCTGGTAGTGCAGTGGTTAAGTGCTCGGCTGCTAACCGAAAGGTCAGTGGTTTGAACCCACCAGCCGCTCAGCGGGAGAAAGATAATGGCAGTCTGCTTCTGTAAAGATTGTTCCTGTCTGCTGTTGAGTTGAAGCCTTGGAAACCCTATGGGGCAGTTCTACTCTTACCTACAGGGTTGCTATGAGCCGGAATCAACTAGACAGCAACAGGTTGTATTTTTAAGAACATTTATTACTTTGTAAAAGTACTTAGGAAAAAAGAAAGGATGATTTTCTTCTTTTTCCAAAATCAGGACAATAATACGTGCATCAGAAGTTTTACAAAGACTAACTTCCCAAGGCCTAAGTCTGTTAACTCTCCTTTAAAACTTTAATGTTCTAAGCTATGGGCAGACATACCCGAAAACCCCCATTTCTACCACTTCATGTAGCCCCATAACCTCTAATAGTTGAATTTTCTGTATTGTGTTAATGTTCTCTCTTCTTATAAAGAAACCATTGGAGGTGGCCTGGTGCAAGGCTGGTCATGAATCATCTTGACTCTGCCTCTTACTAGCTGTGTGGCGCCAGGTCACTACTCTGTGCTTCAGCTTCCTCATCAGTAACATGAGACCACCACACCCCTTCCTTGAACCACAAGATACTGCTGGGTATCATGCTTTAGCGGGGTAGGAAGGGCCCGCCAACATTAGGTGTTAGCATACATAACCTATACTACAGGAGGCAGGAATACAACTATATAAGAAGACTTTTTAAGCATGAATTTTAAGTCTTTAGCTTCAAGAATAAACTGATTTCAAATGGTTCATTTCCTAATTAGGGAAAATTATCTCTAAATGTTCAACCTAAGCAAGCTAAATACTTCAGACAGGCAAGGGAGTTTTAGACCAACTGTGGTCAAATAATGCTATGATTTTATTAAGTTCAGTCCGGTACATTCTGCTATGTTCCATAAATGACAAGTAAGACAGTCACGGAGGCTGGAAATGTGACCACACTAACCTGCTCAGCATGACTCGCCAAACACAATTCTCTAGCTTTCTCAGAAAGACAGTGGCTTTCGTGTTTTTGGTCACAAACAACTAGTGGAAGCCTAATATGTAAAGGAGCTAAGTACAAAGCTGCCCAGAGACGGGAAGGGAGACACACCCATCCATTCAGATACCTTCACTCAGCAGCCGCCCCTCAAGAAGCCCCAGGGAGCACCAATTCAAAACCAGGGTTCTAAAGGCCATCAGTGGGTTGAGCTCTTTTACAGTAACGACAGAGATCAAGAAAAAAAGTAAAAACCTCTAGATTTCACGTTCTAATGTTTAAACAGAAGCAACTGTTGACCTAGACTGTTCCAAAAACTGCATTACTGCCAGCTTAAAAACTTCTGTTTCATTAAAACAGCTGCCTGAAGGATGGTGTAAATGGGGCTGAGACGCTGGATCAATCTCCACTCAGATGCACAGAAAAAAACACTCTGTTCCATAAACTTCCACCTCATGCCAGCTAGCTCTCTCACAAATGTCAGCTCTAAGAAATACACGTTATCCAAGAATTTTCCAGATAAACACCTGGATATGGAAGACCTCCAAGAACATACTGTTAGGAGAAAAAGAAAAAGGCAAGCTGCAGAATAATTCATTCTGATAACATTTATAGGAAAACACATCCACACAACAAACTAGAATTTCCGCAGGCACGTGTGTGTAGGCAAATGCAAAGAAAAAGGTCTGTGGGAACACGTGCAAACTCACAATAGTAGTTATTTCAGAGGACTGAGATTGGGGGTACTAGCCAAACCTATCTGTAGTGTCTTAATTTAGTACAAAGAGAAAGTGTTTATGTAATTAAATATTAATTAAAAAAATAAATTTAGAAATAAATTTGATTAGAACAGAACTGGTATGCAGAACACTAAGGCCTATGGAGATGGCACCTAACCTACAGCAATGAGTCAGGAAGATTCAGGCAAGTGGAGACCTTTGGGTTTAGTGGGGTGGGAAGGGCACTCCAAACAGACAAGAGCACGCGTGAGGGCCCAGAGAGATGAGAGAACATGGAACGGGGCTGGAAATCCAGTTTCTGCTGCCCTTCCCAGGCCCCCTTGTTTGGATAAACCCTGTGCTCCTCAGAAGTCAGAGATGTGTACCTCCCATCCAATGGGTTAAAATAAAAGGGGCTGGAACACTGGCGCCATGCTCACACAAGACAGCAAGCCTGGGCTCAGTGACTTACACTTAAGAAAACTGACTACTCTTGCCACTGCTGGCCTCTAATCCCGTTTTCCTCCTCAACAGTATTATCCAGCAATAATAAGGAAAAAGTGTATCATCAGGCAAAGCCTCCTCCCTCAAAGAAATGTTCTTTAATTATTTTTGGTTTTAGCTTCTTCACTCAGGCTGCCATACAAACCCAAATACAAATCAAAGCTTCCCCTACTCCCAAAAACAATGTATCTGTAAGAAAGAAAGTCACTTTACATTTAGGTTCTTACAAAGTCTCTCATATTACAGAGCACTCTCCCAACTGTTTTATTTTGAATAAAAAAGTACTGTTTGGGGGAAAATCCATCAACTTGAAACAACTCGAAATATCACAGAGATAAAGGCTTACCTGTAACAATGAAGAGCAAACGAAAGGCTGCTTCTTGTTGATAGGAGCTGTGCAGAAAACGTACCTCACTCGGAGACTTAATGGAATATGCTGGATTAATTCTGCAGAAAATTTAAAATCATCCATATTGCAGACAAAATACTGCCCATCGACTTGTGAAAAGTCTACAAAAATATCCTAGGGAAAAAAAGATATATGAAATTACAGACTGCCAAATTGGGCATGAATAAAATAGTGAAGTCAAATAAAGATAATCTCTTTAATCCATAACAGACTTCCAGAAAGGCCTGCTTTATTCACTGCTTCCTCAAGCTAATAGACTTCCCATAGCCCTCCCAACCTGAAATACTCAAGGGATAAAATTCCTCAGGATGAAGGTCTCAGAAGATTTTGAGAGAAAGTTTTCAATTCAAGATAAATTTCACAAATAGTAATTTTACAAAAATAAACTATTCCTTCATACCCATGAGGTTAACCAGTAATTGTGTGACACAGCACCAACACTTTTAGAAAAATACAACACAAAGGAGATTCAAAAGTGAGTTTCTTTCAGTTCCTTGCTTTGGACATTTAGGGTCATGGTTTCCTGGGACGTCCAAGTTAACTGGCCTAATAACGTGGTTAGTGCTTCTGTTCTATCTCCTAGTTGGCTGCACAGTGCCTAGGGTCTTCAAAGCTTGCAAGCAGCCATCCAAGGCACAACAATTGGTCTTTATTTGCCTGGAGCAACAGAGGAAGGAGAGTCAGGAATAAGAGAAGGATATGGAGGAACAGGTGGCTGACTGCCTCCATGAATAACTGCCTCCTCTGCCATGAGACCAGAAGAACTGGATGGTGCCTGGCTACCATTACTGAACATTTTGATCAAGAATTCTATAAAAGAATCCTGATCAAGAGAGGGAAAAGCAGAAGAGAATTTCAGATTCTTATGGAATCCAGACTTTCTGGAGCCAAGGGAGCTGGATAAACCCCTGAAACTACTGCCCTGAGATGATCTTTAAAATTTAAACCAAAAATATCCCTTGAAGTCTTCTTAAAACCAAACAATAGTTTAGCTTAACTAGTAAAAAATGTCTGCATTGAGCATTATGCTCTTTTAAGAACTATGTATATGGGATCAAACTGACAGCAGCAACTCCAAAGATTAGACAGGAAACTTAAGGCGCAGTGAGTTTATGTCAGGGCTTTGAACCGGTTCGGTCTGGTTCGAACCCCTGCTGGGAATTTGCATTTCTACCCCAGATGTACAGAATTCTACATTTTAACAAGACCCCCAGGTAATTCTTTCGTGTAATACATTTTGAGAACCACTGCTCTAAAAGTGGTTCTCAGAACTGGTCCCTAACTAGCAGCATTAGCATCACCTGGGAACTTGTTAGAAATGCAAATTCTCAGCATGGGTTTGAACCTGTTCCAAGGCCTGGTTTAAGTTCACTGGGGAGGAACAACTCAGAAAAGGAAGGTGAGAATGGTTGCATAACTTGAGGAATGTAATCAATGTCACTGAAGTGTACATGTAGAAACAGTTGAATTGGTGTATGTTCTGCTGTGTACATTTTCAACAACAACAAAAAATAAATTATTTTTTCAAAAAGTAAGTTTCTACTTACAATGAGATTAGAAAGTGTTGTCTCAGGGAGATGGTAGGCAAACATTTCAATCTGCTCAGCAGTTGGATGAAGACCAGCTGACTTTAGTAAAAGAAAAAATAACCATTAGCTGATTTTAAAAAAAGGACAGATGTTCTTATTTCAAGATGAAGTCCTACATTAAGGCTAAGCTCTCACCAAATGAGTTAAGTGCCAAGACTTTGAGTGAAAAAGAGAAGACCATCATCATTTTATCTCTTATAACCAATTAGGAAAGCTGATAACTTCCTAAAACTAAAAATTATGCTCATAATTAGTCTTTTGCTTACATTTTAGTCATATTTCTAAAACTGATGATCGATACGCTGCTAAAAACCGCCTTCCAGTGTAAATGATTTTCTAAGTCTCAGTTCTCCCCACTGAACAAAAATGAACACGGAAACCCCAATTCCTTTCAGCAGGGAAATAAAATGGATATACCTACATACATGAGAAAATTTCTAAACTGGAGGTCAATTACCGGTTTAGCCGTGTGACTACAGTATTAAGAAACTACCACAGGTGAGTACAATGAAGCAAGGAAAAAAGAGAGAGACAAAGGAATGGGAAGGCAAAGAGGAAAGGAGGAGAGACAGATGAGGCAATGAGGCATAAGAGTGGGAGAAAGTGTATGAGTAAAGAAATGAGGTACACAGGAGAAACTGGGGTATCACTGCGTCATGGGAGCCACCCATGAACCTAACCACACTCTTAACAAAAACTAGAGAAATGATTTCAACCACAGCTTCCCTCCAGTAATGTTTTCTTGCATTATCGCATATATATTCCCCTTACTTAGTGTCACTGAAAATTGAGACAAGCCACGTAAGTGAATTTAAAATTTAACCTTAAATTTGAACTACTCAAAAATTAAGTTACTACTGAATTTGTTTATGGTGATGGGAAATTTGGCAATGGATATTGGTGACGGTTGCACAAGATGATTGATATAATTGGTGTCATGGAATTATACACATGAAAAATGCTGAATTTGCAAATGTTGTGGTATCTATACTTTTACAATAAAAAAAGAAAAAAACAGTTATTTTGTTTAACATATGTACACCTCCGACTCATTAACTACACTAATCAAAATTTAACTTCATCCTTATTGGTTCAAAGTTGTATTGCTTAGTGCTGTTTTTCCCTACATTCAAGGGTTTCTTCTACATTCAGGCTCTGGGAATTTTTCGGTCTGCTGACACAGCTCTGTGTGCCCACCTAAAGTAATGTGCCTATCCACCTGCTGCTTGATTCTAGAAAGAACTACAGGAAAGGCAGGTTAATTACACTTGCTCAATCTAATCTTTCACTTGCACACCATTATCTGACCCAGGAGTCTCTATACCTCTATAAAGCAATAAAGTAGGGTTTTCTTGACATTATTTCCATGGCACAACAACAACAACAAAAAAAAAATTGGGGTGGGGGGCTTATTTATGTTTCCAGATATCTAAGACCAGCGTCTGAATGACAGTTAAAGAAGGGATAACTGTACTCCACAGAGAAGTAACTAACATGTTACACCTTACCTGTATAGGTTCCACAGGCCTATTCAAAATTTCCTTTAATAAACTAAGGTCTTCACGATTCATTGTTGTAACCTCTCCTTCTTTAAATTTCGAGCTGTATCTACCAGCTCTGCCGGCAATCTGTAGGGCTTGAGAGGTGGTGATTGGTTCTATTTCTTTCTCTCCCTTTTCATTAATACTGGGCTTTAAAAGGGAGTAAAAAATAATTCTTCTTATGCTCCTGAAATAGAAATAAAAGTGATCTCAGACTGTGTATGACAAAACTTCAATCACTTGGGTCATCACATAAATCCTCACTTTAGGTCTAGTTTAGGCCTGCCTGCAATCTTGCCCACCATTTAAAAAATAAGGAAACTTAAAGAATGTAATCAATGTCACTGAATTATACATGTAGAAATTGTTGGATTGGTATATGTTTCGTTGTGTATATTTTTACCACAAAAAAAAAGGAAAAGTACTCTTATGCACTGCTGGTGGGAATGTAAAATGATACAACCATTTTGGAAAATGATATGGC